TTCAAAAGAACAAAAAATCTTCTATAGCTATAAAGTACAGTTTATATCCTTATCTCAGTAAGGTTATCTGTTACTTAACAAACTTTGTTAGTTTTCAATAAATCCTCTTAAAAGTTATCTCAATAATATAATTCTATATGTGATATATATATATTATTAGCCATTGCCGAATTGTTTTGCATAACCTACTTTATTGATTTTTCATGAATAACTTCATATAATAAACACTTTTACACAGATACATGAATAATGTGTTGGTCTATTAATTTTAATTTCGTCCATTTGTAATTTTGTTTATATCTTCCAAATTCAGGTCTTCTTGCTCACAAAACTACTTTATTTTGTCTTTAAACTTGCTACGTTTTTTCACCTTATTTTTCCTATTATTAATATTTTGTCGATCTCAATTTTTACCGTAAAGTTAAGCATTAAGCTGCAAGGACAAGTGAAATGAAAATAAACAGCTGTCACTAATACGCAGTGCTGAAACTCCGAAAAGCTTCAACAGGTAACACACGCCAAACGTAAGTTTCCAGGACAACAAACACAGCAAGCGGCCGCGTTTCAGAAACGCTGAAATTAAGTTAAATTTACGTAAACACATAAATGATCTTACCTAATAATATTGTTAAGAGTAATACACATGTCCATCTCCTTTCGCACATTTTGAGATCAGCGTTCTTCTACTAAATGCTGAAGAGTTCAAATGCCCAATGAATAAGAAAACGTTAGCACTATGTATAACCGAGCCTCTCCACAAACATATAGGACCTAAACTGTGATAGTATACAAGCCCGCGTAGCAGCAACTCACGCCTTATGCTATGTGTCGTTAATCCCGCCTTTCAGTGCAGAATAGGCTTAGCACCATATCTAAACGCGTATAAGTATACTTATAGTATGTAAGTATAGGTTTGTTCACGTAATTCAAATAACATAATTTATGTATTTCTATATAAACAAATAATTAGATAACGAATGATGATATTGACCTTCTATATTTTTAAGCGGAAGAACACAGTAGGCTTTAAAATAAAGAATCCATTATCTTCTTATTACCACCACTAACGAAAAATTAAAATTGTTGTGATTTTTAATTAAGGATAGTTTAACTTGTTTTAATTCTAAACAACAATTAGGCCTTGTAATTATGATAACACGTTTAGTAACGCACAACATGAAGAATTAAAAAATAACGTGAATAATTATATCCTTTCCTCCCCCGTTTCAGCTTACGCCTCTTTGGGATGAAACATTTAAATAATGTTTTACTTGAACATAGGTTGTTGAAGGTTAAATATGTCTCACTCCTCAATATCCACTGTTTACATTAAAACCTACTATTAGCAAACCCTTAATGATTACATGGTTCTACCTTTAGAACCACAATTGTCTATGCATGTGCTTGAGGTATTTTGAGGTAAAACTGATTTTCCCTAAGAGTTACAAGACAGTTATTCTTAATAACGAGATATTCGTTAAGGGATCTGCTACGAAATAATTATATATTCTTTGACTAAACGAGTTCGTGAGAAATATAGAAGGTTGAACACAAGCACACAATAAACAATTTTTATTAAAAACATATGCAGCTAAAATGTATAGTTTTAAGTGTTACAGTGGACAGTCACCTCTACTGGAGAGTTAACTCTGACGATACTCTATAGTCTATATCATTTTGTAAACTAACTTGGTGATCTTCTGTTTCAGATTGTATATCTCGAGATCGTATTCCGTACTGAATAATTCTCACGTTAGCTACTTTAAATAAACATCAGAATTACTTAGAGCGACTAGCATTAGTGAAGTGACTGGTTGTTCCTAACGAAATATAAGAGAGGTTATAACCTCAAAAAGTCACCTGATTGCTGATACAAAAGATACTATGAGCGACCTTGCAGCTATCTTTTCCACAGGAAGGTAAAATGTGCTATTCTAGTTAAATGGTACAGAACAATAAATATCTAAAGCGAAAGGAACTTAAAGACCTTCTTGACCAAGTGGAAAGTGAACATACCTGCACAAACAACAAAATTTAAAAATCCTTATACTAATACAAGGAGGAATAAACATATGCTTATATACCATACTTCACCCGCCTTCTTTACTTCATACTTGTTTTCAAGCTAACATTAATTCTAACTTTAAATCCAATAAAACTTACAAACACGTGTTAGTTAAATAGTGATGTAAATTTCTCTCGTCCGTGTAAAAAACACTTACATACAACACAACTTTTTAACAAAGAGACTCAGTAGTTACACTGAAACACCCTTTAACAATGAATTACTACAAACGATGCATAATAAGAATAAAATGCAAGCACTTTTCATACAATACTAAATAAAACGTTATCATAGATTAATCCATAATGTTAATCACTTTATACAATAACAACTTTTAACAAAGAAATCAATACATAAATTAAACACTTTAACATAGATACAGCACAAAATCCACATTATAAGAATTCCCCTCAACAATGGGAGAAATACAGTTTATTAAAAAATCACAAAAATACCCTTTGTTATAACCCAAATCAAATTATTTTTAATAAAGATACGACATAAAACAAATCTATGATATCAAATTCGGTGACGAGGAACCCAGTTTGAGACTAATAATGGCTGGAGACGGCTTGAATGGGTAATG